TGCTGAAGCTTGCTCATCAAGTAGCATAAAAAGGGGGGAGGGCACCTCCAAAACCCATAGTTCGATAGTGTAGAACTTTGTTAGCAACTATAGTTTGCTCTCATCATTTTAGCCTTTGGACATGGATAGTCAAGATACTACACTTGTTATGTCATCTCAAGCGACTAACTCACGAAGACGACTGCGAGATGAAGAACCGCCTGCACCACGACGACGTCGGAGGATACCGAGCAACAGATCGCTAGTAATTGTATTTGAGATCGAGCCTGCCCACGACGGTCAGCCAGAAGGTGTGTTTGGAGGACAATTTCACAATGAAGATACAGAAGTCCACGCTTGGTCAGAGGTTGAAGGTGTTGGTCACTACCGTTGGCTCCAAGGGCCGATGAATCATTTGCCTCGCGAACAACAATTGGAATTCATAGCGGATGTGATGCAACAGATTTTCATTTTCTTGCGTTGGTATTGACTGATAACAACATTGCTTCTCGGAGACCTCGAAGTTAGAAGAGGAGGTGATGTCATGGACATACATTAGAAGATTCTTCGAATATTCTTCTAGAATATTCTCTAAAGATTCTCTAAAGATTCCTTTAGAAGGTTTTAGAATATTCTTAGAATATTCCTTAAAGATTCTCTTAGAAGGTTCTAGAATATTCTTAGAAGGTTCTAGAATATTCTTAGAAGGTTCTAGAATATTCTAATAGATTCTAGGAAGTTGCTCGAGAAGTTTCCTAATTAGTAGAAGTTGTTGGAGAAGCGTCCTAGTTAGCGGAAGTAGCTCGAGAAGCTTCCTATTCAGTAGTATATATAGGAGTCGAGGCTGAAGGGTTCTTCAGTCTCGACAACACATCTCTTGGAGTTCTAGCTCACCCTTCTGGTGTTTTTCTTGTACTCATCTGTTTAATCTAGTTCTGCCACTTCTTCTTGAACTTCTTGTTAGATTTCAAGTCTGTATTTTGTGTCCGTGACATAAGGTGTACCTACCAGATTCTATAAGAGATGGGACTTGGTTTGGATTTTGACTCTTAATTAAAAGAATCATTTGTTCTTGCATAGCCTTCATTTGCTAGGCAAGTTCATTTTAGAACCCCTATTGACTTTGAAGGACTTCATTCTTAAAGTCTTCCTTCTATCTATTCCTATCTTCTAGGTATATTAATTTAAGAAGGTAGGAAGACAATCTAACCTCTAAGAATGTTGAATAGTGGTTTGTAGGTTGAAATTAGGTTTCTTCAATCTCATATGAATGTTCTTAGGAATTTCCTATGTTTTGAGTATATATTGAGATAAAGTTGGATATTCTATGATCTTCTTTTTTATACATTTGCTCTTGCTACTTGTCGATATCTTCTATCATCTAAACTATTTTTTTAGCCTCCTCTAAATTATTTGGCCTTCCCTTGAATATCTCTCAAATTGTTCTCTCACTATTAAATCCTTGAATAAAGAAACAAATGAAGATATTATCCGTGAAAAGAGTTCCCACAAATCAGGTTACTACAAGCTCAAATCGCCAAATATATTTTGTGATTTCTTCCGCTTTTCTTTGTTTCAAAGAAAAAAAGGCTGTGAAGGCATTACTTTCCTCCACTATTGGTCTAAACTTTTCTAAAAATGCTCTAATGAGTATATCTCAGTTCTTGAAGGTTTAAGGGAGATGGTTTCTATATCATTTGTAGGCTCCATCTTTTAATGTACTTGAAAACCATACTATGTAATATCCTTAGTTGGTAATTAAGTATGTCGTGAAAAGTTCTATAAATCTTTCTATGTATAAAGATCGGTCATCATCTCTAGTTCTTCTAAAGATTAGAAGATTGTGAGGCATGGAAGTTGCTTGCAATCCCTCTTGAATTACAATGGACTAATTCCTTGACTAAATCAAGAGATTTATAGGTGTAGAATTTGGAGAGGCTTTTCTTTCGCAATTCATCAAAAGAGAACTAGTCTTGACTCTTTTCCTTCTTGATTTACTCCTATGAAAAAATTAAGAGATTCTAAATCCAACCTTTCTTCTCCTACCACTTAATTAGGAATTATTTTCAATGGATTGATTATAAATATGTCTTGTGACATTATAGATAAATCTTGTTTGTCCAACCATTGGACCTCAATTCTTCTAAATTGAGGCGTGGATTTTTTAATAGCCTTCCCTGTGTTTTTAATGGATGGGACTAGTATAAGTTTTCTAGATCTAATGGATTGATGCATCTAACATGATTATAAATATAAAATTTACCTAGATTCATAATTTAAATATACCAATCTCTACAAAATCTAATTAAAATATTTTGATTCTTCTCACAAATGATATTTGGAAGATAATTAGTTTTACTTGTAGGAATGGTCAAATTTATATCAAGAAGATGAGCCTCCTTAAGAAAATCTAGAATCCTTAATTGCAAGCGACTTGTAAGAAGTATATTATTATTCCAAATGAACTCAAATATAAAAGGATAGTTCAAAGGCTAAGTACAAATTTTACATTAATTCTTTTCTTGTGCCAAGATACATCCAACTCCTAATTCTAGTTTCAAACTCAAACCTCCTTTCACTAAAACACTTATGAATTTCTTATTACTAACCCAATCTAGGCAAAGTTTAGCTCATAGAGCTTAATTCAAGCTACAAACTTTAAAATATCAAAGTCAACAAATAAATTTTAAAGAAATTAAGAGCCAAATCAATGAAATATTTAGCTACTTGATATAGCCACATTCCTTAAAATTTCCGTCCACAAATTAGTTTGAATCTCCCTTATCACATCTCTTCTTCTTACGTGTTAAGTCTTATTGGAAAGCTAATAATAAGATTTGGCTTCATTTTAAATCTCAAGACAAAAAGATGAAAATGCAATAGATGGCATAAAAAATTTCAAACTGGTCTTTAATCTCACTCTTCAAAAATTCCAACAATCCTCCACTCTACAAATTTACATAGATCTCGCTCATTATAGCTTCTTTTCTTATGTCCTAAGACTTATTAGAAAGCTAACAAGAAGATTTAGCTTTTTTCAAAATCTCATAACAAAAAGACAATAACATAATAGATGGCATAGAAAAATCCAAACCAATCTTGAATCTTTTCATTCCAAAATTCTAATGACTTCCCTCCCAGATGACACTAGCTCAAGGAAAACCCACTTGATGCAAAAAACCTCATCCTAACCTTTTTCCAATCTCCATCTTGAATCACTATAGAATTGGGTATGTATCCTAAAAGACAATATTATCAAAGTTTAAGCAATTTATTTTAAGCAATAATCCCATATTCTAAATTCCATTCAAATTTGTATATATATTAACATTATATCCCTCTCACTCATTATTCACTTCCCTACAAGTAGAACTAATTACCTTCCAAATATCTTTGATGCACTTAAATTAAGTGCATAAAGACATGAGAAGAAGGATATTAGAGAGGGCGGCAACGTCTCTTTGATAGCTTTGTTGACTGATCAATAGACAAGGCCAAGGTGCAGCATCTCTTATAAAAGTCTTTGAGGAAAGAGCCTTAGAAGAATTTTCCAATATGATCAAATGGACAAACTAAAAACCAACACATGCTTGAACTAATTTTTGATCTAGCTGGGAAATAGCAAAAAATTCAAACCATTCAACACAAAATTTGCAACTCCAAAGAAAATGTCATTAGATGACAAGTACAATTGTTCATCTTTTGCATACGTTTTTTTTTCACAAGATCAAGTGTGTAACATGTAAAGGCTTAGTGAGACAAAATCGCTACAAAGAGTTATAAACTCAAAGAGAAACATGATAAAAACCATATCAAAGGATAAATGGAAAAGAGTAATGGCAGTGAAACTTAAGGTATGCTTGTAGGCCAAGTCTTTCAAAAATTATTCCAAAAAGTTTAGCAATTAAAAACTTGCCTAATGAAAGTTTGCTCAAGATTCAACCATACAATATTAAAAAGATATAGAAAAAGAAAAGAAAAGAAAAAAAAAAACACAATTTTCTCAAGTTCTCTAAGTTGAGCACAATGGACAATGTAAGTCCAATTGAATCTTTATACTTCCTTAATAGTCAACAAATCATTTGCAGATTATTTTGACTAATTATGTCACTGAAACTCACTCTTTACCATCTCCTTCTCTAAAATCCCTACTTCAGCTTATCTATAACCATTCACCTCTTGAACAAGACTTCTCTCTTTAACTTCCCTTACATTGTGAATTCTATACAATAAAGGCATTCAATCTTAAAGTTATTGCATGATATTTCACCTCTGATGATATCCCACAATATTCCATGCTATTTCAAAATAGCACTTGATACTTCACCAAATCACTGGCTAATTATGAAATCCAAATATCAAAATAAGGACAGATAAAGTATCAAAAACCATGTACCATACCACACCACTCTTTGACATTCGCCAAAATATTGACTGATACTTCAAAAACTTGAAGATAGGAATAAAATTTGAATGGTGATATTTTGAATTTGATAATTTGAACGATCCTAAAAATATCACTGTTCAACCCCATGATAGTTGGTTTCCCAAAAACCTTACACTGAATCCCCTTAAAACTAACCCACCAAAAACTTCTGAACTTGCATGCTTTCTCCAATTGGATTAGCAATAATCCTCACCCACACCCAGTCCACGGATCCTAACTCCATTGTCTGATCCATCCATCCAGTAATGATACAAACACAGCACAGACTATGATATATGCGATTCACACCAACTTCATCCACCACCCCTACATTTCAGAATCTCTCGCCACCTTCCATTCATTTCACTTACGACTCTTTTCAAACACACTCACCATGCTCACCAACAACCACCCCAAATGAAAACAAACGATACCACCACCCAAACGGCACCACAGGATCTCATTTGCTCGTCACCTGCACCCACAATACTTCCCTCTAACAACACATTCACAAGCTCCATGTACTCAACCGTGCTCCCCACACATGCCCATTTCACTCGCATACATTCATGTTCCTCATTCCAACACCCGGCTATCCACAAATCCCACACTTTATCAAAAAACATTAGTCCAGACGTGCTCCAAGCCAAAAATATATAAATAAAAAAGAGGAGGACCAGCTCCATACAATCCTGCATGAAAACCTTCCGACACCGTCACCGACACCACACTCACGACAACATAAGTGCATGCATGCATGCATCGCCTGACCACAGCGATCACCGCCGGAACAGACACGCCACATTACACACATCCATCCCCACCACGCTCCACCATCACCTCCACTCCCACGTCGCACGCCTCCATCCACCTTCCCCGCCTCTGTCTCGCCACCTCCCCACTCTGCTGCAAAACTCCCTCTTCCGGCTCTTGGACATGAATGTTACTGCCTCTGTCGTCCCCCCAAACCACCGCCCCATCACCCACTCATCCTTCGCACCAGCACTTGCTTGTCACCAAACGATGCGCACGCTCCTCCCTTCAAGGGGTACAACGCCAGCACAGCACATGCCCACCCCGCGACCCGCACCACCCCAACTCACAGACTTGCCGGCTATTATACATCCTGCACTGCGCCAACCGTCCTTTCCTACCTTTCGCTACGTCCCGGGCAGACAACTATCTACACTCAGCTCAGCTCAGCTCAGCTCAGCTCCTCACAAACCAGGGAGACGTGCCCTGCGAGCCCGCTGCCCCGCTCCAGGGTCCTCATTCCACCTCCCCACTCCTCCCTCCGAGGCCTGTCAGATACTATACAGACAAATCCGCTCTGCCACCCTCCTCCTCGCAAATCCACGACTCCAGCCCCTCCTCCCCCCGCCCCCGCCCCCGCCCCCGCCTACACCCTACGCCTGCGCTGAGGCCGCCTGTTGTGACAGCACCGTCGGCGCCACCACGATGGCCTTCTCCGGGTTCTGTATCTCCCCGCATCCCGCATGCTGCACGAACTCCGCAGGCGTCATGTGCCGCCCGTGGCAAGCGCACACGATCCGCACTTGCCCCTTCTCCACTCTGTACAGCACGCCCGATATCGTCCCGTTGCACGTCACCCACGGCAGGTCTGGCGGGGACCCCGTGCCCCCGAACTGTTGCCCCGCGGCGATCCCCGGCCGCAGACTCGACGCCTCGTGCCCCCCCACCCCCTCCAAGCTCGCCGACGACCCCTGCCTCCACACCCCGCTCGACTGCGGTCGCTTCACATCCTCGTCGCCTGCGGACGCACTCTCCACCGCAGCCCCCTCCGCCTGCTCTGCACTACCCGACCCCGCGCCACACCCGCCACCCTCGTCCCCTGCGCCCGCCGCTCCCCGACATCCGCCACCCTCGCCGCGACCCGGGGTCCCAACTCCTGAACCCCCTTTCGACCCACCACTTTGCATGCCCTGCCCGCTGCCCTGTCCGCCGCTCCCGCCTGCGTGCGACTCCGCCCCCAGGCTTGCAAATGCACTCCCCACCATCCCCTCCCTTCTCAATCCCACCGCATCCGACTTTGACCGAGACATCGCCGACTGAGGTCCCAGCGGCGACGAACTCGCACCCGCGCTCGTGCGCAGCCTGTTGAACGCCCCACTGCCCATCGAGCTCGCCTTCACCAACCCCTGTGGATCACACTCCCCACCTGGCGAAGCGTTTCGACTGCGACCGTGTTCGTTGCCTTTGCCAGCACCTGCGCGCACAACCCCCACGTCCAACGTGTTACCCTCCAATCCCAACAACGCCCACCAAAGCACCACTCACTCCCAAGCCCCCCGCACCCAGGAACTGCATATCCCGACTCCCCCTGGACCTCCTTCCCATCCACATCCCCTCACTGCTCCTCCCCCATCCACATCCCCTCACTGCTCCTCCCCCATCCGCATCCACGCATTCGCAATCAATGACAGCGGACACCACCTCTCGACTCTTCCGTCCATTCCCATCCCAACGCATCCCCCGCTGCTGCTGCTACCACCCACACCCCATCGCAACGCTGCCCCACTCCCACCCCCTTTGCCTACCTCGACCGCCGCGTCTCTCGTCCTCCCGCACCGATCCCGCCTGCCCACTCTTCCCTGCTCCGCTCCGAGGTGGAGATTCGGGGGGACTGACGTGCGGCCGCACCACCGCACCCGCCCATCCTGCGCCCCCTTCCGCCGTCTGGATCTGAAACGCTGGATACCCAGGAGGCAATGCCACCTGAAACGGACTCGCCATCACACCGTGCGCTCGTTGCTCTTGGTTCCCGTCCCCTGGGTTTGCTGGAACCGCCCCGAACTGCATCACGTACGGAAACGGGAACGGCATGCTGAACGGCACTCCGCCCGCACCACCTCCGCTCGCCACCGGCATCGGAAACGGAAATGGCCCTGGCATCATTGGAAATCCTCCGCCCGCTGGGAACGGCATGCTCATCATTGCCATCGCACTGCGATCCGGCCCCATCACGCCGTTCGCCGGATTGCTTCGACTCTCCACGGCCCCGTTCGCCCCCGCCGGGCTCGACAGCGCTTCGGCATCACCCTGCTCCATCCTCGCCCCATTGTTCGTCTTCTCGTCCTTCCCGTCCGAGCTCTCCGTCCCACCGGAGCTCGTCTGGTTCGATCCCCGGCTCTTCTTCGCACTCCTCTCCGCCTCTCCCGACCCACTCGCACCCGCACCCGCACCCCCACCCGCCCTGTCTGCCCCTCCGTCGCCTCTTCTCGCCATCCCCCCAAAGCTCGACATCATCTTCGCTGCATTCTCCCGTTTGCTCTCCATCATCGCTGCCAACTGATAACCGCTCATCTGCACCCCCATCGTCCTCTGAATCCATCCCGGATCCATCTGCCCGTTGCCCATCGCCCTTGCTGCAGGATCCATCTCCTGCCTGCTCGCGCTTCCTGCATGCCTCCCCTCACCGCTCGCATCCACGTCCATCTTCTCCATCGGAACCACACCCGGCGACCCACACCCACCCTTCCGATTCTCGTTCACCGCCTCCATGTGCATTCCGCTCCCGCTGCTGCTCTCTTTTGCACCCCTGTCCCTCGCCTTCTCCACACCACGCCGGCTTTCCGACGCCTGCTCGCCCGACTCCGTCCTCCCGTCCCCACCTCCCACTCCGTGCATCGACTCTACCTTGGCCTTCGCCGCGCCCGCGCCTCCCATCCCAGGACTGCCTTCCCAATTGTGATGCATCCACGAACTGCTTCCCGGTCTCCGGAATGCCGTCAACCCACCACCCTCGCCGCCATGCTGCGATGCGTCCTGGCTCTCCGCCGGGGACGACATCGAGTTCTCCTTGCTCATCGCGCACGATGGCTGCAGCGAACTCGTCCTCCTCAACCCGCCGGGAGGACCCTTCACCCCACACTTCCCATTGCTCCCGCCCCCTCCTGTATCACTTGCGCACACCAAGTTTTTTCGTTACAGTTGGCAAACCAGAGCAATTAAAGTGGCTTGTTACTCGGTTAGATTATTTGACCATGTTATCTGCACATATAGATCTTCAGCAGCAATATATCTGATCAACGTGGGTCGTTGCGAACTCCTAATGTTCATATACAGCTGAGCTCAATCTGCTTCACGAGTTGTACAAGGGCCACAGCTCTAAGTAATTGAGACTGTCGCGTTAGCGACTGCAACAGATCTCACGACACCGCATCCCTCGTTAAAAGTTTACACGATTTGAAACATTACAGACAAGCCGCGCCAGCAGAGAATGGTTGCCACTCACTTTCTAGAGGTGTAGAAGTAACGGAAGCTCACATTTGCGGACTTGCCAGATGTTCAAATCCTGCTGCTGGTATTGCCTTCAACGAATCCTTCAGACCTTCCCTGACCAGAACTCCAGTATTTCTGGCACGGTAACTGAGATAGTTAAGGCACAAATTCCACCCCTGGCTCTCGTTCAAGAGCACACACAGTCAAGTAACAAATCACACCCGCTCAGTGGAGGTATGTGCATCACCAATCTAGCCAAAATGTGCACCCAACAACTAACTACACCTCAATGCATCCAATCCTACACTATCCATCTACACACACGCCACGGAAACTCACCCCACCCCACGCCCCTCAAAACCCCGACACCAGAGCTTCGAGCCTACATATCACCCACTGCAACCAAAACAACTTCACAATCTCCCAGCGGAGCCTGTCCCAACTCATCTCCTCGCGACCACCCCCGATATACAGACCCGAGGCAGACACACACAGACAAGGATAACTTCAGCGAGCGGAGCGGCGACGACACCAGTGGTGATGGGTGCGGGATTGCGAATTAGGTCTGATCAGCTGGGGACCACAGACGGTTGCGATGCCTTGGGCTTTTTGGCGAAGCAGAGACCACAGGATGTGCGGGTGACAAGCGCGGAGGAGCTGGCGAAGGGACAGGACCAGGGGAGATTGCTGGGGTCGCCCGCGGGAGGGGAGTCGGCTGGACACGAAAGAGGCAGTGAAAAGGAGAAGAAGAGAGGAAGCAGAAGGAAATCACAGGAAAGGTGGGGGGGGGGGGGGGAGTAAAGTGTAAACAAGGTAGGACATTGGGAGAATGGAAGGCCCCTGTGGGGGCGCTGTGGGATCGCGTGGGCTGGGGTGAGCCAGGCAGGGATGGAGCGAGCGAGTGGTGGTGTGAACCCAGGAATGGCAATGGGCTGTTCCTCGCCGGGCACGTGATGGATAGTCACGCCTACAGGGCTTCGCCGCGACGTCATCTCCTTTGTCGCGCTCCGCCTGCCTGCTCTCTCCCCCACTGGTCGGCAGCGCCTTGGCTCCCAGCTCACGTCGCCACGCTTCTCTCCCCGCCGCCATTTCTCTACGTGTCCCCTTCACATTCTTTTGCCGTGATCTGTCTTGGTGACATGTCGCAGGAATGTTTATACTTGTGGTGCCATGGATGGTTTTTCACTGGACTAATGCTGTTTTAAAAACAATAACAAAATAATAAAATAAGTTAATTAATTAATAAATGAAATGACTGTACGTGATAGAAAGTGGAATTATCATGTAAGACATTTTCCAAACGAAACTTCCTTCTACTGCTTTCGAATAGTTTTGCTCATCTTCATTTTTTTTCGGAGAATGGTATCGTTTGTGTTTGCTTGGAACTCTAATTCGCGAAGAGGTTTACAATTGGTGTTTTTATCCTCTTCTTGTGTGATATGCCATGTGTAAAAACATAAAGGTCTGCACCAAACTTCTGGCTGTGTGACATGTAGATATCAGAGGTGACAGCTCAGCATCACATGTGGCAACTCATTTGTATCCCACATAGTTGCTTTTGCAGTGCAAATAGCAATTGAAGAGGAGGAGTGCCTCACCTCCAAGTACTGTGAGTCTTTCTTTCTTTCTTTATTTCTTCAAAGGTTGTAATCTCGTTTTCAAATTTTTGTTACAAACAAGCTATTCAACTTTTGGAATAAAGTAATGATACACAAATGTTCTTGTATAAGAAGAAGAAGCAATATATATCTATATATATATATATATATGTTACCCAAATTTTATGTGTTAGCAAGGAAATGGTGAATCTGTATTGGCTACATAAGAGGACGATAATAGATTTGAAAAAGCAGAAGATGTTTAGAGAGTGTTACAAACAAGGTTAACATAACATGTAGAAAAAGAAAAAAAATAGATGTAGAGTACAACTTTCTTCCAGGAGAAGAAAAACAAATAACACATGCAAATTATTTTAAACTGTTTTTTTTAAGGTTTTCTTTTGAAGAAAAAAAAGAAAAAAAGGGAAAAAAGGGGGAAAAATAACAAACAAACAAACAGTTGTTAGAGTTACAAAGTGGCCCCATTTGAATCATGAATTTCAGGAAAATATGAAGTATAAAGTGTCAATGTATATCAATTTATTGGAAGAGGATTGGATCACATGTGTTCTTCAAAGAGTTTTTCCTTGACCTATTTTCCTTCTCCTACATCTACTACTGTGAGAGCAGTGATGGTGATGTTATTGCAGAAAGCAATTGCAAATATATATTTTTGAACAAGTTGCACAAAGTGCAAGTGCTACATCACTTCCGATGCAAATAAGATCCACATTCCATGTTATGCCACATGGTTTGGGGAGAAGACAACTTTCTGGTTATGGAATTCCTAAGATGCATCTTTTGTAGGAGCACTTGTATCTTCTTGCATCTGTACACATTAGACCCCTTTGCCCATTGTTATTTTGTGATGAAAAGAAGAAAAAAGAGGGAATCACAGTTGTTGGACTTCATCTCTACATGTCTTTTTCTTTTTCTTTTTTTAATTCTACTTTGCTTATTTTAACTTCTTTGTGTGCTGGAGAGACATGCATTTTTTTGGCATGAGATCATGCCTATAAGCTCCAGATCCTGACTTGTGAAGGCTTGTCCCCTCATTGGATGGTTTGAGCATGTTGTGCAAAAAACAAATTTAAATCTATTTAAAGAAGTGAATAAGAATAGGTATCCTTCCTTTTCCCTTTGCTTAACTGAATGCCAATCATATATATATATATATATATATATACACACATACACACATGCTTTCTAGTTAATTAATTCAAATTATATCCTGGCCTTTGACATTAGCACAGTTATTATTTGAGCCACCACATGTAACTATGTTGAAAATTGCAAGGAAACAACTTGAGCCCCAATCTCAATACAGCTGATCCAGAGAGAACCATTTCATAATTCCTGACGGTTCCATTAGTCATACTGGTTGGTTTTGATTGAAACTCAGAATTCTGCAAGTCATATTCCCACAATATTGTCAGTATTCAGTTCCATTTTAAACCTATTAAACTTTTGTTTGAAAAGAAGAGAAAATACATACACTGTAACAGGCACATAATAAGAGCTGGGCCTTGGTTTGCAGCAAAGAGAGACCAAAGTTTCCAACAGGATAAGGAAGAGGATGCAACTTTTTTTCTTTTTTTCTTTTTTCTTCCTCAAAGTGAAGATTGGGTGTAGGTCAACAAGCCTTGTGGACCAGCTTTTAGGGTTCCCAATGGAGAAAGACACAACAAAAATACACACACTAACTTTGTACCCCTGATGCTGCTGCTCCAATCCAAGAGCAAGAGAACTAGAGAAGGCTTGTTCCCAATTGATTGCTCTCCATGTCTGTCTCTGGCTCTCTCTTTCTCTTTTATCTCCTATGCAATGCAGGGCTTGAGGGACACAAATGAAGGACTTGCAGGCTGATCCAGTAGCAAAAAACCAAAAGGGCACATGGAATGCTGCCTGTTCTCAGAAGTATTAACCACATTTCACAGACTGACTTGGGCAGGGGGCAAGGGTGGTAAACGGACAGTGCAAGTGTGAATGGGGAAAGGGAGGGACAAATGATAATGTTGTTATGTGGTTTTGTAACAAGCAATTTTCTTTGGCTGAGTCAACTTGTTCTCACCATCTCCACTGTCCTTGTTCCTCCCAATCAACCAACCAACCCATACATACATACTTTCTCCCCCTACCACAGTCTCTCAAAATGAACTCATCCTTATGGGGAATTTCATTTGCCTTTCGTTCATCCAAAGCATAAAAAGAGGAGAAATTAAAATATTAAAAAAAAAAACACAAACATAAATATAAACATAAAAAAGCTGAACAGCATTATGTTGAAAGCTGCTTTTTCCAGCAAATCTGTTGGTCAGGTCCAGGATCCACCAAACAGAGACAATGAAGGACAAGAAAGAAGGAAGAAGTGAAGGAAACAATGGCAACATGGATTTTAACTTACATTTGGGTAGTATAAGACCCATATGCTGCAATATCCATTGTTTTTTTTCCACTGAAATCTACATGTGTACATATTTCTGTATAATACTAGTAAAAAATGGGTTCTGTTCTGAAACTCCTGTAATACAAGTATAAAGCATCTACACATGAATACATTCACTTTTATTCTATTTTATCAATTTCAATCATTAGCAGTTGCTATTATGTTGAGGACTGATTGCCAATATAAATCTAGTCCCTCTATGATTGTCTCATTGTTTTACATTTGAAAATTTGATTTAGATTTAATTATTAGGGTATCATATTCAATCATAGTTGGTGGATTGATCAAGGTTTTGGAATAAATTGTTATGTTTTCAGTGCAGTTGGTGAGATACTCTAGGAACATTATGTGTAATTTGTTTTGTGCATCTTTTAAATGTCTTGTTTCATGTTCACTATTGTACCACAAAAAAAATTAGAAGAATTAATGTATAAATAAATCTATAAAACTATTTATAGCATGAAATTAGAGCTTTCTGTAAATTAACTCTGGAATTCATGTCCATAAGCATATTATGACATTCATACTTTAACTAAAATTTGTACATTAACAGTTTTGGAGGTAGCATAACTGTTTGTTGTTCAATTCCTTTTGAAACTCAATATCATAAACAACCATTAACCATTATTAATGTTTAGTGTACAATATCATTTATCGTCATAAGTATGCACATGTATGTGTGTTGTTGTAATTTAGTAAGGTTGTTTGATCACTTGTAAAAACACTAAAATCTTAGCTAAATACATAGTGTGTTAGCACAAGGAGCAATATTTAATACTATGTATTTGAAGGTTGATCAGAAGTCTTCATATACATTTTTATTTGCATATTTATAACTATGCAAAAGAGATCTGTTAACACAACTTCTCAAAATTCATTATCATTTAGAGAGAACAAGTGGAAAACATGTAATATTTTTAGAAAATTGCTTGCATAGGTACTGAAAGAAAAAATGAGAAGGAAGAAGAGAAACTTTTTATTAAAATTGTCACATAGATATGGTCAATATTGATAAGAATAATATTAAATAAATTTAATGACTTGCATTGGATATCTATGAATTCAATCAATATTGCAACTTGTACTTGTTCCTACCTGCTGCAAAAGTTGTGCCTTAAAATATAGAACTATTATGTATTATACAATGGATTGTAATATTGCATCACTTTGAGCTCCTTTTCACTTCTGAAAATACCCAATAAAATAACATTACTTTGACTTAAAAACAACCTTAATATAAACCCAAAACAGTCCCATCAAATTCCCATTGGTTCTGAACCAAATTGGGTCCAGACTGGGATCTAATCTCGTAGCAACTCTGCATTGTTGCACAATCTTCTGCTGCCAACTCTTGAGAATCACCCCCTGGTGATATTAATCACTTAAAGAGTGACTCTCAACTCTTAATACAAGTCTAAATCATACTTCTTAGACCTTAAAAGAAAAGGGTTGCATGACCTCTTTTTGAGGCATCTAGAACTCATTTCCTAATTCTAATGTCTCTCACTCCACATGGTGCCTTTGCACATTGTAAATCTTGAAGTGAAGAAGGTGGCCTTCTCATCCTTTCCTTTGCCACCTCACTGCATTACATCCATAGGAATTAGAGGTATCTTGGCTCACAATGTTGTTAACTTTTTTTTCTTTTATGAAATATTTAAGCAAGCAAGTGAAAAGATTTGAACTTTTTCGACCCTTGCACCCTC